ATCGCACATTTTTTGCCGCTTGTTTCCTCAGCTGACTGAGGGTTATGGTCAGACCGAATGCACAGCGGCTGCAACCTTCCAGCTGTTTGATGACGTCACAACAGGTATGTCAAGCTCTTCGTATGTTTCTTGACGTCTGTTGAAGTCATTGGCCGACTCAGTGGCTGATAAACAGAGGAAATGACTGCGGACTGGCTAACTGACTCACCAACTGACGGATCCCCGGACTGCCTGACTGACGTGCTGGCTAGCTGGCTGGCTGGCTGGCTGGCTGGCTGGCTGGCTAGCTGGCTGGCTAGCTGGCTGCCTGGCTGGCTGGCTAGCTGGCTGGCTAGCTGGCTGGCTGGCTGGCTGGCTAGCTGGCCGCCTGGGTGGCTGGCTGATTGAATGAGTGAGTTACTGACTCCATGACTGACTTGCTGGCTGATAGGCTGGCTGACTGACCGACTGGCTGACTGATTGGCTGGCTGGAGGAACCACTAAATAGCTGATTGACTGATGGATTGACGAACTGACTGAATGACGGACTGACGGACAGATTAACTGACGATCTACGGAGTGACGGATTGACGGTCTGACGTACTGACTGACTGATTAACTGGCTGGAGGTTTGACTAACTTTTAGTAAGTCACTGACTGTCCCGGTTCCACTGAGCTGCTGGCGTAGTAACCGTTTGATCGTTTTACGTAATGACTGACTTCTCAACTTAACTGGTTGATTGGCCGTTAACCTTACTGACTGATAGCCAAGACGACTGACTTATGGTCGAGCAAACCAAATAATTGACCAATCACTATCCGACTCATCGACGATTCTCTGCTTAATACTATACATGAAAACATTGCGCGCGTCTGATTGGCTGAAAACGAGTACATTTTTTATCCAACACGAGCGGAAAAAAGTAACACGAGTGCAAATTATAAATAACACGCACAAACTATCAAAATTTCGTCTCTCTTGACTTTTTGTGATGCTTTCTTCTGTAAACTATCAATAAGTAATAAAGTTTTATCTTGTGTAATTTGGTGCTAAAAGCACTCGTAAATTTTTCTCAGACTTTGTTGTCTTTGGAAGATTTACCTGTTCTTATTAATACTAAATTGCACTAGAAATCACGTTAATGCTTATACTAATTGTATTTGTTTTCTTTCTGCAGCCGGACATGTTGGTCCTCCAGTTCCTTGCAACATTATTAAGCTTGTCGACGTGGAAGAGAAAGAATACTATTCCTATCTTTAAGAAAGGCTATTATCCAATTAATGATGTAAGGGTTGATGTTGTAGGTCGAGAGTTTCGATAGCAAGAGGCTGTGATCTATCAGATCGAAGGCTTTTCTATAGTCCAACGCAAAGATCCGCACGGTGTTCCCCGTTCCGTCTGTTGCCTGCGCCCAGTTGTGCATCAGGCCCTCGGCAAGTGTAACCGACCACGGTACGGTGAAGCAGGGTCGTTGAAAAGTTTGGAGCGATGGGAAGATACAGATGTAAGACTTCTCACAACAACATACGCAGATTACAAGCACAGTTTGAATTTTCGCGGGAGATATTTTACGCTAGGATAGAGCAACAGAGAGGGGCCTGCAAACGAATAAGGTCTCCTTTAAATGGAACACACCACTCTCCAACGGAACTTCCCAACAGGAAATTATATATATAAGTTGTCATTGTTATTATTGTCTTTTCATAGGAGGTCCGTAAAGGGGGGTCCGTAGAGGGTCCGTGGACCGGTCCGTACAGGGGTCCGTGGACCAGGTCCGTAGGGGGATCCATGGACTGGGGGTCAGTGTTTTTCGGGACACCCGGTACCCATCTCCTAAAGAATCCACTTAACAATATCCTCGCTATGGCTGCTAGCTTAAATCCAACAGAGAAGAGCTTTAAAAATCAATTTCTTTCGATCGAAGCTCGATTTCCTTTGATGAAATACATGTTGACTCAAAGGTGGGTGTGTGATTATTTCAATTTCTTTTCGTACACTTACTAACAAGATTTGAAACCTGACACGTAAACACTACGTAGGTAGGATCGTATAGGTGTCGTTGGCTACTTTTAAACGTTGTATGGTCATACGTATACATCTGTTTACTTTGAGTTTTCTCCGACCTACTTGTATCGGTGTATACGAATATTGAATAGGCTATCGATTTCAAACAACTTTATTCCGTTTGGTGGCAGAAGCGTAGCGTGTAACTGAAGCAATGATTAATTAACATGTATCGGGTTTGTGGTTCGAAATCTGAAAGATAATATACAACTTTCTATTTACGATCTCCAGGTAATAGAAAGAAATACGAAAGCATATTTACCCGATGACCTTCAGTTGTAGTCGTATCACAGTCACTTCTGTGACAACTGATTAGCCAGTAATTATCGTTTGTTACATGTTATGTGCGTGTAATTATTAAAATTATGTTATAATATAGATACTGTTGAAACACCAGGATCTCACCTTTTACTAAAAAATCATATCTTCACCGCGCGCAGTGAAGATACTATTTTTATCTTTCCCGTGTGAGGATATTAATGTGGCCATGGTTACCAACATAATTAGCCAATTGCTGTTTCGAAAATGAATAAATAAAGTTGTCTTTTATGTGGAAATTTCATCAGTATCTATATAATAAACAGAACATTACCTGGCCGCTTGGGGATACGAATTTTATCTTCTCGTGCTGAAAGTATCTCTCACTCGTTCGCTGCGCTCACTCGCTCACCACTTCCAACGGAAAGCTTTAATGTAGCTAGCATCCATGAACGTCATCGTTAATAGGCCGACTTCTATCTATTTTCATATGATCTTCAAGAGGCCAAAAGGACGGACATCCTTTATTCTGCAACGGGTTTTACGTCTTTCCAAATACCTGTTTGTGTGGCGTCTGTAAGAGGTGTAACGCTCCATTTAATACACAAGGCCTCATGGGTTTCTTAATTG